GATATTTCTGAAATAGTCTTTCAAACCTCAGAGTATCTCACACATGCAATTTTTTCTCCTGTATTAATGGGGGTTGTTTTTATTCTTTCAATTGTGTTTCTAGGCAGCTCTGTTCTCAAAACAGACCTCAGTTTCTCAAGAACTCTTCTTCTTCTAATGTTTCTCTGCCTTGTACAGCAGGAAGCTAAATCCATCAGGCTGTTAATTCTTACTCTCTAAAACCTGTGGCATTGATTGCACAAGTTATGGAACTGAGGTGAGGGATGGGAAAAGGCCAACCTGCTTTTCAGAGGGGTTTGGAAGCTGTGTAATCCTGAACTCAGTGATGTGTACTAGAAAAGATGTGCAGCTGTATTAATCAAGGAGCAGACATTAATAGTGAGCAGGTATCATATAAACTACTGTAGGTACAATCCTATCTTAACTTTATTTAAAAAAAAAAAATTTAAAACCTTCCAGTCCTGAATAGAAGGCTAGATTTCAATGAGTATCCTAGGAGAATCTCAAATTTTCTCGTCTCTGATTTTCCAAGATATCCAGCATGTCTTAGTCTCTTTTAAAGAGACAGCACCTTGAAATAGCTGGTAATTCTCTAATGAACTTCTAAGATGATCTATTTCTTGTCATTCATGCAAAAGGTGACAAACAAATGGAGCAGTTTAATGCTTTAACTCCCAGCAGTACCTTCTCCCAGGGTTTTCCATCCTGTCCAGACCTTTCCTGAGTTACAGGGAGCACAAGGTAGGTGCCCTTCAGCACAGCTGTGCTCAGTCCCAGTGCCCACCATCCTAAAGAGGTGAGCACAGCATCACACTGCAAAGCTTGGGGCCCTAAGGCACAGAAACCAATGATTTGTGGGGAATCAGGAACTCTGTTAATAATTTGGAAATTTTTGTGGATTGAGTCTCCATTTAGCTGGTGAAAAAGAGTTGCACACAACCCCATCAGCCCCACCCTTTAACTGGGACCTGTTCAAAATATCTCTGGCAACAGAATTACTAGAAAGTAGTCACAGACAATGCAAGGAAAAAACAAATTAAAAAACCAAACTCAAAACACACTACCTTTTTCTTTGGCACAGATAGCCCTCTGGATAACAACTCTGCCCATAGGGCGACATGAAATTAGAGAAATCCAAGTAGTTCTGGTCTTTCTGTGGGTTGCAATTGCTTCAACCTCTCATTCTTTTTGCTGGGGTGGGGCATTCAGTTTTTGTTAAACTGAGCTCCCTGAAATATCAAAATCATCCCTAAAGCCTCAAGACTCAGTGTCCTCTGACAATGCAGAGAACACTGCCAAGATCAGAACAAAGACCAGATCACTGCAAAATACTTCTTTGTCCCTTTTGAGTTTTCTGAAAGCTCCTTTTAGAATTGGAAATCTCACCTTTAATTTCTTTTAAAGAGTATTTGAAATTTTTTTCATCTAGGCCATTTTATAGCTGCCCTTATTGAAAGCAAGTACACTTTAACCCCCTCAACAGCTCTATTGTCTTAGAGCAGATTCTTAATTTAAGTGAATGCAACATGCCCATGCTAAAATATTCCTCCCAGTAAAACTCTGTCTAGTGAGATGTTATTCAAGTATCCGCATTAAAATGACGGGCTGATACAGTGCACTAATTTTTCCTTATCTGAACTCTGAGCCAAACTCCTATATGATCAAAAGACAATCAGCTTATATGTAGACCCCTCTCAGCTGATAATATTTGATAGCCCATTGAAGCCAGATAACTAATCCAGGTATCTGGTTTTTATGCCCAAGACAAGTGCACTGCAATTATTTTCTGCTTGGCATCTTTTGGAATGAGTTTTGTTGTAGCCAAACATAAAACCTACCTGTTCAAGAGAAGGAGTCTAAGTTTTCCCTAAAACAAAACCAAAAAACCAAACCAAAAAAAAAAAAAAAACCAAAACAAAAAACAAATTTAAAAATTCAAATCTCTTTTCAGGGGAACATTTCCTAGTTGCCAGCACTGGAGAACAAGATGCTGAAGGCAGAAAGAAAATTCCACAAAAAGCAACATACTCCATTGACCTAGACACCATTTCAGTCTTTCAAAAGCTCCTCTATTAATGCATGGGGACTGATGGCCAAGGTCTTGAGGATTTTTCTCACTCACCTGAATTCCAGCCCCAGCCAGTGTAAATCAGGAACTCTGCACTGTGCTAAACCTGTCAGCAAACCCAGGGCAAAACCATCAGGCCCCTTTCTATGCAGCCACACCTGATTGTGGCTACACCATTGTGAACACATCCCTGCAAAGCATTTTTGCTATTACAAATAGCAAAAAAACATCAAAACCCAGCAACAAACTAACCAAAAGCAAAGAATGTTAGTAGAGCTTTTTTCATACTCAGTATATTTCCAGATATTTCTAAAAAATTGCAAATAATTTGTTCCAACAGAGCTTTTTCCATCTAAAATGGCAAGCTCAGAAAAATCTTTGCAGTTGCATCTTTTTTTCTTTTTTAATAGGAGGTAGGAGGTTAGTATCTCAAATCCACCTAATTTGATTGCTCAGTTTTGTAACAACAGTAAAAATAATCTGATTGGATTTGATTCTCTCATTCAGAGTATTCAACATACTGAAAACACGGTGGTGGAGGTTATGCTTGTCTTCAGGAGAAGAGCAAGCTACAGGAAAAGGTTTTTCTCACTATCACATTTCATCTTTAGACAACCAGGAACAGTCACTTCTTAGCAGGGGCAACCAATAGAAATTAAAAGGGGGGATTTGAGTTCAGAACTGGGAGTCTGCTGTTGTCACACAACTATTCCCACCCTGGCTTCATGACACTCTTGATCTTGTTGAGGCAACAGGGAATGGAAGAAGCTTGGAGCAAAGTTTGCCAATCCTTTTACAAGTCATAACATCCATTGAGGTATTTGACCTGGTCTTGGGGGATGCTGCATGGTGGGCCTTGGTCTTTGCTACCAAAGAAACTGCAGCCTCTACCTCCTACTCCTTGCAGGCCCCCCATGACCACCCTGCAACCCAAAAAGCAGGTACACCTTTCCCCACTGTGAACAGTCATCCTTCCAGTTCACAAAGGCTTTTGGGGTGCTTAGCTTCTATCACAGCTTCTCCTTTACCTCAACCTCACAAACACCTGAGCAGCACCACATCTGTACAAACCTGGGAGATCTAAACCCAGCATCCTGGTGCCCTGCCTAACCTAAGCTCCAGAGGAAAAGTATCCTAGAGATCCCAGGCTCCTATGAATACAGATTTCCCACTGCCCAGCAGGGTACATCTACACATTAGCCACTAACTTCATACAATTGGTTCTAAACTGCACAGATCATTTTTCCATTTAAAATGTTAAAAATTTGGAAAATGTGATCAGAGGAAGAGCTTCCCAGAAGGATTGTTAGCTTCTTTGTTGACAGATAACTTTTCTGCTCAGTGTCAACAACTGGAGCAGACCGGCAGCAGTACTACTCATGTTGGGCACTGGATTATCCATGGAAGGGGTTGAACAAAGCCCAGCAAAGATATGGGGACCATTCAGCTGCATCTCACCCATCCTGCAAGCCACGTGTGGAACCAGCCAGCTCCTCACCCTCACTGCTCCTGACTCTACAGCTTATCAGAGAAACAGAATCCTTCCCTATAAGGAAGTCTTGGTAGGTCTGGACAAGGAATATCTCCTCCTGATGGTATGGACCCAGAAAGTGCTGACATGAATCAAACTTATTGCTTGTCACTCCCTGCCCCTCTTCAGCCCCCTAAAAATAGCCATCATAAGATGTCTATCAAGACATGGATCCTCCTGTCACTTTGCCCTAAGAAAGCTAAAGAACTCGCCAAGGGGAGGGACCTCTTCCTTCTGACACCTAATCCAGGCAATGCCGTCAGCACTGCCAGATAAATAAGGGGAAGAAAGGCAAGGGAAGCAGGACCACTCTCAAGACCTCCCAGCTAATCCTTCCTGCTGTCCGCTGCTCTGCATTTCCAACTCAACCATGGTGGGTGCACTGCAATAGTTAGCAGCCAGCCAATGTAGTTTACAGAAGTAAATAGGGCTTCTTGCCCACGTTAGGTCTTGGGGGGTGGGGGAAGGACAGTCCAGGAGACAGTTTAGGTTTGCTTGGTTTTCCTGTTAAAACCTAAAGGCTTTCCAGTTAGCCTCCAGTTCTGAATCAGGCAACAGTAGTGGTGCAGCTCCCACAGCTTCTGACAGAAGGGTTACAATTTCCTAAGCTTTTTTTAATCAAATGCAACCAGCTAAAGTGGTGAGGAAAAATCATATTTTATATAAACAAATATCATATATTGGTACTTTACGAAACAGCATGCAAAAAAAAACTAATTTGAGACATAAAGTTTAAGGGAATAATTTAATTTCTATGTTAATAAAAAACAGCTGCTTGTTTAGAAATATTACTTCAAATTGTATAACTAAAATGGATCTATGGCAAAACAGTAAACGGACCTGATGGTAATTAATTAGGGTTTTTTTTAGTGAAGAGACTTTCTATTTTTGTTGCTTCTTGCCACAGATCTGTTATTTCCTAGGTTGTAGATTTTAAGGAAAACTTTAAGAATAGACTTGCTGGCGTATTTTTATGCAGGAAGTTGCTAGATTAGGTTGCTATGGCCTAACTACATTAGGCAAGACAGAAGTGAAAGCCTCTGGTACCTGGTGCTATTTACTTTCTCTCAGTGCATTTTCAGCAGTACTAGTTCTCTTTTCTCTCTCTCTTTTTCTCCCCAACTGCAGTCCTTCTCTGCTGATGAAATCAATGGTAAGTGAAATCAAAGTTAAACTTTACCAGGGGGAAGGAGGGGGAACAAAATGGCTACCAAATGCTAAATATTCACTAGCCTTAAGAGCTCTTTTGCTATCTGCATTACTTCTGCACATTTGACAGGCCACTTTTTTGCTCTTCTGGAAGATGACACATGGATTGAGCTGGATGCTTTAGAAAACACACAGGTTCTCCCCCAGCCCCCCTTCCTAAGCTATTTTTTGTGATTGATTTCCTTCCAACAGATCGAGTTCTCCAAGGAGCAGCAGGATGGTAAGTTACAAGAGAGCTGATACCTTTTACATGTGTGTGGGTTCAAAAAGAGCTGCAGGCTCTTTTTAAGAAATTAACTTTTATAAAACAATGAGCTCAGACTTTATCTGATATAAACCACCACACTCTTGACTTCAGGGCAGGACTTATGCTAAACAAGAAGGTGGCTGTAGATCTACATGTAATTTATCTGGATGTTTGCTTACATGCTGTCTGAACTGAGAAGTTTATACCATGGTACCAAGAGGAAAAACACTGTCTCTACTTACTGAACATTCTTCACTTGTGCTCCTGTTCTGGCTCTTCACAAGGATGCTGAAAATAAGTCTTGACAGTCCCAGGGGAAATAGGCAGAAGGAGAACAACAGAAGGAGGAAGTGGGCTGAAAATTTAACTTAGCTGCAGTGACTTTGCAATCTCACATGAACAGAAGATGCAAGAGTTCTGTATGTCACTTTTACCAGGAGGTGTTCTGGAGACTGTTTTACTGTAAAACATTCTTTAAATATGGAAAGAGTCAGCAAATAAGTGAGTTGTGCAAACTGCTGCTTACACAATGGTGTGGATATGCTGCACTTCTTGAGCATCTTGCTATATTCTTTGATTCACAAGCAACTTGCAGCTTCCAAATCTTTTGTTTCAATCTTCTAGAAAGAGATAAAAAACCTGACATGAACAATAATTCTCACTGAAGCTCTGGAAATTTAATTTTAAGTGTTTCAAATAGGCTAAGAGATGCATTTGGGCTATATCAAGTAATATTTAAAAATGTAAAAAAATCAGTAGCCCATACAGTAGACTGAAGAAAGTGTTTAGAAAGGAAGATACAATGATTTCCTAGAAATTCAGAGGGAGTGGAATAGCCAGAAACAGGTCTTGAGAGAGCTCTAAACTTTGTGAAGATGAGCCTGCTCTCGGTGACTCCATCAAAGCAACAAGGAGAGATACAGTGCAGCAAGTGAGAAAATTCTCTTCTTGCAGTCCAAACTCTCTTGGTCACAAAAAAAGTCATTTGGACTCTTCCTTCCTTCTTGATTCTGAAAATTTTACAAAAGGTTTGGGTGGGTTCATGGAAAAATGTCCTCAATTCAAAGCTGCTGGCAATATTTTGAAAGCAAAATATTTCTTTTGGATTCCCTATACATTTCAGATCATCCAGCTGCTGTAACTTTACAATGGCTGAACCAAGCAGCAGAGCAAATAGAAACTACTTGAGAAAGGGAGAATTTCCCAGGAGCAGATATGCCCAGCCTCAGTAACAATTTCTATTTGCACAGGCTGATGCCCCAGCAGCTGGGTAGTACTATCCTCAGACAGACTTTGAACATGCTTGCTCCAGCAGAGCTATAAACTAGGACTGGCCCTTAAAAAAATAAAAATAAAAAATTCAAAATAAAAACTTCAAAATAAGAACCCACAGCAAAGATATATTGCAGTGAAATGCATGCCTGAGAGACAAAAATCAATCAGTCCTTTTCTCCAAGCTGGGGAGCTGTGTTCAGAACTCAGTGACCATAAAACTTGATGGGATTTACAAAATGGAGAAACTCTCCTGATGGCTTTGCTGTTAGCACACTGGCATTGTTTTATACCTCACTGCAGCTAAATGTCATTGATTTAGTAGATGAAAGATCAGATCATACAATATAAATTACTACAGCTCCACCCATCTCAGCTGCTGGGGCTGATATCAGGAAGCTCTGCACTGGTCCAGAAGGCCATAATTTCATACCCTGCAATGAAAGCTGCACGGAAAGAGAGGTAGCAGCAAAGGGTTATAGGTGTCTCACATGAGACAGTAAGAGGATTAGTTTCACATGGATTAGATTACAGCCTAGCAGGCTGACACTGTGGATCAGCACTTTTACTGGGTGTCAGCAACAACTCCATGGTGGTACAAGGAAGAGTAAAGCAAAACCATAAATACCTCTGCATCACGTCCCCAGCACAAGATGAATGAAGACATGATCTGAAATGTGGCTTCTTATTCCTAAACCTGCCCCAGAGCAGAATGAACATTACACAGGCTGTGGAACACAAAGCCTGTGTGGCTGCTGGATGAGAATCATGACCAAGGAAAAGACATTTTACTCAGTTTACTTGGAGCTCAAGCACAGCATCATCAGACACTGCAGTGCAGAACAGATCAACAACACAAACCAAGATGCTTGTGGCATATGGGGTTCAAAGACAGCTTTTTAGCCACCCAATTGTCCTTTGTCCCATCCTCTTTTTTTAAAGCCACACTTCTTCATTCAAATTCTCTAAAAAGCCAAAAAATAGAGTAATATGATTGACATGGAACTTCACAACAGAAGATGAAGGCTGGTGATGCAGTGAAGGCAACTACCTGTGCTGATTTTTGTAGGAGAAATGCCCCTGTACCCAAAGGTCTTGTCCAACAAGGGGAAATAAGTGAACACTGATCACTTGGCAGCACTGAAAGAAGTAAAGTGAAGTCACAAAGTGAACACACTGGAAATGCACAGGACAAAGCACCACATGAGTAATTCCACTGGAAAAGTGGAATATTCTTGCATCTGTAAGAAGCAGGGACAAACTACAAAGAATAGATAAAAAGAGGGAACAAACATGTTTGGAAATCACACTGTAAGACAATTTTAAGGTAAAACAACAGTAAAAGCATTTGAAATCCACCTTCAAGTTTCTTTTTAGCACTGTGTAGTTGAGGTGCTGGGATTGCAGGCAGAACCCACTGAAGCAGGCAAAGGTTTTGCACTGCCAGGCTCTTGAGAGTCCCAGTTCTCTGGAGAGATAAGGTGGAGTGGATAACAACATTTTACCATCTGCTGCTACATCATGTGAAGGAACCTGTTCTTGAATGACAGTGTTGGTAGAGAACTTATCTTTCCCTGTCCTTGAAATAGATACAGGGTCAATCAAAAAGCTATTGATGGCTATTACAGCCAGGAAAGACATGAAAGGTAGATATAAAAGTTTAAAAATAGTGAAACCAAAATGTCAGAGGGGAGGAGTTTTTCTTGGGACTATGGGCCAAAGATTCCCCTGGCTAACTCCCCTGGAGTCAGTGGAACAGTGCCAGGAAACAGCAGGCTCACATCTTTGTCAGCAGGGAGCTGCCTGGCTCAGTGTTGCTCTTCTCTTGCAGACTTCAAGGAAGCCTTCCTCCTCTTTGACAGGACTGGTGATGCCAAGATCACCCTCAGCCAGGTTGGCGATATCATCCGGGCACTGGGGCAGAACCCGACAAATGCAGAGGTCAACAAAATTCTGGGGAACCCCAGCAAAGAGGGTAAGTGCCCTGCTGTCCTTTTGGGCTGCTCCTGAGATTGGGGACAGCCATCACACAACAGCAATAGTCACAGCAGGAGAGAGGGGAGCTTGTGCTCTGGTGGGGAGCAACAATTAATGGTATTTCACTCATTCCTTTGGAAGAGAATGATGCTGATGGGGAATAGAGGAAAACCTGCTTAAGACATGGAGAATTCTCTGTAAGGACTGTTTTGGTGTGAACTCAGTGTAGGTATAGCACACACTCATTGCCCACAGTCCATTAGTGCCCCAGCCTTTGCTTGGAGAGCTGTGGGTCCATTTCTAACAACTTCCAGTCCTTCCACTGCAAGGACTTCTGCAGAAGCCAAGACATTCCCTGGGACTGGAACCCCACCTGTATATTTCAGCTGACTGGAATGATCTTCCCAAAGCTCCTACAAACATGGGCACACCGAAGCATACATTGGTCATTTATTACTGAAGCCATTTTTAAATTCTTTTTCCTCCTTTTTAGAGATTAAAAAAAGGGTAAATACTATATTCCCCTCATTTTAACAAGGGCCTAGAAGCAGGTGATCCCCGATTTCAGTCACACAGGCTAAATTATATTCACATCCTCTGGCCTGGCAAAGACAACTCTGAGGAACAATTCAGAAAGCGTTGGTACCAGCAGGAAGCATTGAGGGCTAACACAGAGGTAAAATCATACCAGGACTTTCAGTGATTCCAGCAATAACTGACAATGACTTTGATATAGCTGCATAGTAAAATAGGTTTTGTAACAACTGTGAAGTGAAAAATTCCTGCCCATTTATGTCCATCTATTATATTTTGTTGCTGTCCAGATGACGGCTGGCAATGGAAAGATCCAGGAGGGAGGGAGAATGAATAAAAAAAAGGTTATTTTATTTAGCAGCTCAAAAAAACCCCCAAAAAACTCAAAAAAAACCCCCAAAACAAATGAAAATGAGAAACACTTGGGGAAGTTCTCACTGAGGACTACAAATTTTGGCTCATGAGAGGAAAGGGGTTAGATGGACTAAGCTCAGGAGGTCTTAAACCTCCATTGTGGACATGCCCAAATTTACTATTGGCAACCCACAACTATGTACTTTCCTAGTTCTACTTAGTTTATTCTTTTGCTAATAGGCTCTGCCACCACATCCAAGAGACCCTGAAGAGGTCAGTAACTTGTGAGCAACCTCAGCATCTTGTCTAAGACCCCTCATCCCACTCTGGTTACATTTCCTCCATTGCTGGGGCTCAAGATTTTTGTTTGACTGTATTCTACAGTTCCCTCACTCCCCAAATTTTTCAAAGATTAACTCACATGGCAAATTTCATTTCTGAAAGAAAAATAAAGCATACAAAGGTATGTGAGAAGGATCATGGATGTGAAAACTAAATCATAGGATAAGAGAATCCACATTCTGCAAAAGAACTGTCAACTTCTGAGGCAAAGTCTAGAGTAAAGGCTACAAAGAGCTGTGAAAAGGAGAGCTCTCCCACATTTGAGGGCAAATATACCTAAGTAATACACTTACAAACACCTAGCATGTAACAACTGGTGGTTTTTTCCCAGAGATGAATGCCAAGAAGATTACTTTTGAGGAGTTCCTGCCCATGCTGCAAGCAGCTGCCAACAACAAGGAACAGGGCACCTTTGAAGACTTCGTTGAAGGTCTGCGTGTCTTTGACAAGGAAGGCAATGGCACAGTCATGGGCGCTGAGCTCCGCCACGTGCTGGCTACTCTGGGTAAGGATCATCCTCTCTGCAAGCACTTCAGAGCTGCTGCTCTTTGCAGGCATGAGAGAGGAAGGAAAGGTAGCCCAAACAGTTTGAAGAGGTAGGAGGCTACCAAGTCAGACAAGACTTTGGGTTTCCTTAACTGTGAATCCACAAAGAAAGCAAACACAGCTTTGGGGTTCCCACTAAAGTCCAAAGGAAAAGGCTTATGATATCTAAATTCAGACAAGATGTTAATAGTGACTTATTTGATGAATAGAGAGAAAAGTCTGTACATCTCAGTGACATAACACAAATGGACAAAAGTAGAGGATTTGCTGTACAGAAATTTCTTTACTCTGTAGGAATAACTAGAATTCCTATGCATATATGTCTCTGTCTTCTAAAGAAAGTTAAAAGTCATTAAGCTCATGTCCTATATAGGTGTTTTTTCACTAACTCAGAAAATAAGAAAAGCCTTTGGAAAAGCTGTAGGTTTCAGCCTCAGTTCTGTGTGGAAGAATGAAACGAGTTCTCTCCACTCCCAGGTGAGAAGATGACAGAAGAAGAAGTAGACGAGCTCATGAAAGGTCAGGAAGACTCAAATGGCTGCATCAACTATGAGGGTAGGTGCAAGAGCTCAACACCCATCCTACACTTCTCCTTTCTCTTACAGTTTCATTACAGTGGGCATTTATCTTCTCAGGCAGACCATACAAAGCTCCAGCTGAGTTAGGTCAAAGGCCCTGTGTGTGAGAACAAGCATGGCAATGTGCTCATCCTGCAGCCACACCATGCCAAAGACCCCATTCAGACACAGCACAGGAGGCTGTTCTGGTCAACACCAAATCTCTGAGCTCTGACTTTCTGTAGAGCAGTTGCAGTGATTGTATCCAATAGCTACTGTCTTATCCCATTTAAGCAAGAAGAGAACTTGATTTGTACAACATTAAACACTTAAAATTTTCTGTCACCATATCAGATCAAATCCAACCAGGTACAGATTTTTAATGCCATCCACTCATGAACAGCTTTTAATTTTAGGGCTATTTCCCAAAGTAATATTTGCTGCTCCTTATAACTAGCATATCTGTATTTTTCCACAGCATTTGTAAAGCACATCCTGTCAGTCTAAGAGGAATTCTCCAGGTACCAAATGGTATGTTCTTCTCATTTGTACACTTAACTTCATCTGCTTGCTATCCATAAAGGCTTCTATAGACCCATGGCCAATAGAGCTACAAAACCATGTCACCAACATTTCCCCAACAATATGAAAAGAATAAAATGAGACTGTTGTCCAAAAGCAAAGATAGCTGGACTGCAGGTTCCTTGCTCTTGTTCACAGCCCTGTAACTCACTGGAGTTCAGTAGATTTTTCAAACACAATGCAAATTGACAACCTGAGACATTTATCCTACAAGCACAATTGAGATTGTTTTTAAATGGAAATCAAAGCAACACCTTCCAATAATTTGTAGATTTCTAATAAGACAGAGCAGCCTGAATACTCACATGAGCTACTTGAGAACAAAATAATCTTCAAACAAAATAATCATCTGAAGAAGAATATTGTCACAGAAGAATATTGATCAATAACCAAAAGAGGGCTTCAAAAGTACAGATTTTTAGAAGTGCTAAAATTATTTAGCACTTCTCCTACAAGCAGGGGAAAATAAAAACAACAACCCCTCCCTGCCCCATAGCCTTTATATGTCACTTTTTTGTCCAGAGGTTGGGGGGAAAACCCAAAAAAATCACAAAAAACAAACAGCAAAACAGCGGCTGTCTTTAAAATACAAACAAACTTTTGTGGGTTTATGTGAACTGTCAGTTATTCTACCCAAGGAAATACACATTCCCAACTGTATGAAACAAACACCTCAAAACAGAAATCAAGGGGTCAGTTTGTCACTTTGCAATTGTTTCTTCAGCTAACATTAACTTCAAATACAACTCTCCCATTCCTTCCCAGAACAAGCCAAAATTAGAAAGACCAGATGGCACCCAAGATTTGCCTGAAATTCTTGCTCAGTCTGTCACCATCAACATGGAAACTGCATAGAACTGGATGATAAGACTCCAACCCTACCATTTTTTTACCAGCACATCCATGGATATCACCTTTGGTCATTGAAAAAACCACATGGTGGGTTTTTTTTGCTTTTTCCAAAGCAAACTACATGGAATAAACTCTACCATCCAGGGTCCATCCATCCCAACCATCTCTTTCCATGTTATTTGCATTGAAACAATGTAATTTATTGGAAAAATAAAACATCCATAAATCCTTGTGGTCACTTTGAGGCTATGAAGTCTTTTTTTTCCCCCCATGTGTTCAAACCCACTCAAAACAGCATTCAGCAGTTAATTCATTTTCCCTGTACATTGCATACCATAAAAATAAAGTTTTATAAAAAGTATAAATATGGACATTTCCAGTATCACTTGACTTGGTCTCAATGAAAAATTCTTTGGGGTCTGGGAGGAGGAATAATTAATTAGGGCACTATCACCAGCATCATTTTTGGGAGAAGAAGACCTGGTATCTGTTGTCAGAACATCTCCAAAGATGGTAAGATCCAAAACTAGGAAGGATGGCCCTGCTGCAGGGGACTGTGCAGAGCCACTTTTCCCAGCCAAATCTCCTCTGTACTGCTGCAAGAGCAGGTAAGCAGCACTCTCAGGAAAGAATCCTCCCTGCTGCCTTTATTTACAGCTTTGGGCACAGCTAGAAAGAGCAACCAGAAGTTACAGACACTCTGTATCTGGGAACAGGCCCAGCACCAAGCCAGAAGAGGCCAACTATCCCTGCTGCAGCAAAACTGGGAATAGCCATTGCTCAGGGAAGTATTGTTACATCCCCGCCCTTAAATAAAGAGAGCTCCTCTCTCTTCCTTAAGTGTTCATGAAACTCCTTTAATCCCCATCTGGGTATCAGCCTGTTCTATTAAAATCCTACCTTGCCTTATTGAGCTGCTATGCACGAAATGGCCATAACTCAAGTGCCAACAGGTGCAGGGGGGGGTGGCTGGCACCAGAATAAACCACAGCCGCTCAAACAACAGCTGTCTCTTCTCTGAGGCTTCCCAAAGAATCTCCATTTAAACCCTCACCATGCTGGCACACAGGGCCAAATGAACCTGGGAATTCCACCCTGCCCAGAGACTTCTGCCAGCAGATTGCTTACAAAGGGTTGAGGTTGCTACACTCAAAATGCAAAAAAAAAAAAAACAAAAACAAAAAACCTGGATAGAAGGAAGAAGTAAAAAGGAGTTATTAAACTTTGTCCTGAAAGGGCAATTTTAAAAAGTGCAGGATACATGAGCAGACCCAAAACACTGCTTGCTACACATCCTCAACATCCTGTCTGTACACCCATGCTCCAAGCAGTTTCTCTTTCCAAGAAACTGTGGACCTCAGTTGGGAATGGAAAAACTGAAAACCAAACCAACATTTCATATATCTATCTATCTATCTATCTATCTATCTATCTATCTATCTATCTATCTATTTATATTTATATGCTGTCAGCCTCTTTTTCACACAACACTGATATATGGTCACAAACCTGCCTAGTCCAAGGCTGGACAAGGCCCTAAAGGAAAGGCTGAATTTTCCATCACAGGTTTTTTTGGGAATTGCAAGTTTTACTAAGTTCTGAAATATTTGGGGTTCAGGCAACTAACAAAGTCAGACAACTTCTCACCATCATAGAAGCAGTTCTTAAGCAGTTTTAAAAACTAGCAGTTTTAAGCTCACTAGTTTTTAAAAACTCACATTCAAAATTTTTTTAAAACAAAATGCCAGATTATGGGACATAATGAGGCTGACATTATTTCTCTGGATTCTAATTGCAAGGAATCAAGGTAATACTAATTACATTACTCTTGCTCCTCAAAGATTAAAGTGCAAATAATTGTTGCAGACAAAACTGATGAAAACAAAGAGAAAACTCCTTTACTATTAAACTGAGGTCAAGCCTCAGAGTATTTCATAGAGCTGTACAGGCAGTGGATTTTTATGCTATCCAAAAGTTTTAGCAATTTTTAAATATTTCTGCCCTTAATTGACACAAATATTTCATTCTCATAAGATCTTAAATAATTCAGTCATTTATAAAGAAAAGCAAATACTTTATATACTACTAGCCTCTTTCAGCTAGTGACAGCTTCAACATAAACCTTTTTATTTATCCATTTTAAAAATTAAGAAACAAGATGATTTGGAAACCTAGTGACAAGGGATTTGGGGGGCTTTTTTGAGAAACGCACAAAACTGTATTAAAATCAGCTTTGATTTCATCAATAAATCCCATTGAAATCATACCCAGTCTGAAAACACAGTATAGAAATGCATAAACAACTTTAGTGCCTCATCTGTAGGAGAGCAGAGAAACCTCTTACTTTGCCTCAAAACCATCTAAAGGTTGATCTTTTTTCAACCTCCTGCCTCCATACTAGTAAAACAAGCATCACTCAGAGCTTTGTTCCTGGAGAGTGCTCCTCACAAAAGGCTGCTTGCTCTTATATTTTGTGTTCACCTAAGGAAAGAAATACTCTGCACAGCCAGCCCCTCCAAGAGTGACTGAAGGCCCCAGCAGCTGAGGAAGGAAAGCCAGCCTGCATCTGTTCAGGCTCTGAACAGAAAAAGCAAATCTCAGTCTCTGTCATCTGATCCCTCTTGCCATCACTACATTTGCTTTGTATTTTAAATAGAACATGGTTAATGAACATACTTTCCACTACTCCACCCAAGTGACAGTTTAACTCCTTGGGACCAAGGCTAAATTCCCAGAGGAAGGTCAAGCTGTGAATCACCAGTCCTTGGTATGCAGCACTATAGCCAGCAACTGGCACAGGGAGCAGGGCAGCCTACAAAACTCAGGTGGAAGTGTCAGAAAGTTTGACAAGAGGTGGTTCCAAGGATGTAATTGTGCTCTTGGCAGAGCTGTGTTCATTGAGTTAGCTACATCTCATTGAGTTAGCCATATCACACATCTCCACAGCTGGTTCTGCCAGGCCAGGGCTAGCCAAGAGGCCTCTCAAAGAAGGGTATTCATGTTCACAGAGCAGAATGGATTTCAGACAGCAGGGAAGTGCAAGAGGAGCAATGTCCCTCAATCTAGCACTGCTCAAGGGTCCAGCTCCCTGTCTAGGAAAAGGCAGAGGCTGTTTTCCATAACTCACTGGGCTTTTCTTTGAAGGTATCCTAGACCCAAAAGTGTCAACCATGTTATCAACAGAAAAGCCTCTTACATGCAGGAGCTGAGTACCAGAAACACAGATGCTGCTGTTAAAATGAACAACTGTTTGTGCACTCTATCAACACTCTCCTTAGTCATGGGCTGTATTTTAATTTATTTTAGAAGAATGGCTTCCATTTTTCTAAATTCCATTCTTCCAGCCAGTGGGTGGTGCAGCTCTGTGCAGAAACAGACACCATATAGACAGAAAGGAGCATTTCTCCAGGACAACAACACACAGCAGGTCAGGTGTGTCAAGAGACAGCACTGGAGTGTTGAACACAGTGAGCTCCACCCACTGCCCCAAACTCATCTGAGCAAAGATTCTTCAGACAAGTCTCCTCAAAACCCTCTCTCTGTGGCCCTCTGCTCATTTCCAGGAGCTGCTAGGCACTGGTCATTTGTCCCTCCCACCTACAGACCAAGGAACTGAGGAAGCACAACAGGCTACAACATCACCTGGGTCCTTCACACAGATCTGCTAGCCATGACTCTCATGGTGCAAGGGCAAACCCAGGAGAAGAAAGTTTAGCAAAGACATCTTTCTGGCAGGCAAACTTGGCTGTTCACATCACTAAGACCTTTCAGCCTTCCCATCTGTCTTCTTTACATTAGTTCTGAGGTATTTTTAAAAAGCCACAGAACACACAACACTCCTATCTGAACAAAATCCACAAATGTGAAGATTTCCATCTTCACATAGCTCCCCCTCTTATAGCCCTGCATACCATTATTACAAGAACAATTGCTCCATTTCAGCATGTTCTCAATCAAATCTCAGACTTTAAACACAACACATTTAAGCACCCTTCTTCTGAGTTGTTCCAGTTTTGCTTGCAGGTCTCCAGAAGTGGGTGGAGCTTAGAGCCAAGTGTGTGTGACCAGGTTGCTGTTCTATACCACTCAAATCAGTCAGGGCGAAACAAATTTAAAAAAAAGTTGAACATTTGCCATTTTGTTTTGTTTTTTCCTCAGAAAAATTGTCAATGACAAATCCTCTGCACTCTGCCTCTGTGTTTAAATCACCCTCTCTTTTGCATACTTTTGTTATGAATACTGTTGCTTGTTAATTTTTCATCCTATTGCTGGTTTTTTATCTCAATCCATAGTCTCTACCTTTGTCCCTCTCTCACCAGAGGGGCCAGGGGGAGAGGAGCAGCTTATTTGGAATTTAATTCCCAGCTGGTTTTAAACCACCACACAAGTACTATCTTATTCTCAATGCAATTCTTGCACAGATTTAAATCTACTCCCTTATGCCAGGAGGTTTTTACAGGGATACAAAGAAGTGCTCAAACATTTAACAGAGAAATGATACTTTAGTAACCTGTTATTTCTCATTTATTTTATAACAAAAAAAATTGCAATATTTCATTTACCCAGGCACTTACATTTACTTGAAAATGAAGTACCAAATGTTGCTGAAAATATCAAATTTCACACACATCTAACTTCTAGACTAATTGGAACAGTATCTTATCAGACCATGGTTCATTAGAGCACTAAACTGAATTTTCCATTATCAAAATCTATGGTTTGGGAGGATGCTATAGATTAGTTCATAAACTATAATTTCTCCACCAATGTAGCAATAATGGGTAGCAGCACTCCTAAATCAAACTGTTTGTTGTAGAAGAAAGGCTTTTGCCAGCCCTCTGGGAAGGTCTTACACTAAGAAATGAATGAGGCAGATTGATAAAAGCCTTAAAAAAATCCAAGTATTTCCTCAGCAGCATGAAAAGTGTTTCAAGAGGGATTATTCCCACTGGTTAAAAGAAATAGCAATGATAACAGTTGTTTGTGATTTTACTTTTAAACAGAAAAAATCACTTTCACCATGTCTACATGCCTCATTTATTTTGTTGGAGAATATAGTCTTATGTTGGCTGAAAGGGATTTAGG